ACTATAACTTTCACTTAAACCAATTAATTTACACGTATTGGGATTTATTATTTTTAGCAAAGGCATGTAGCAGAATTCACTTTAGCATAAATTTATGATGAAATTAGATTTTTTTAATTTTTTTACTGGACATGTTTAATAGCAAAAAGTCAAAAAATATTTTTTTCCCTCAAAATTGTCAGTGTTTTTTTTGTTTATAGTGCAAAAAAATAAAAACTGCACAGGCAATCAAATACCACCGAAAGAAAGCTACATTTGTGGGAAAAAAGGACATACATTTCATTTGGGTGCAGAGTTGCATGACCGCGCAATTCTCAGTTAAAGTAACGTAGCTCCGTATCGCAAAAACTGGCCTGTTCAGGAAATGGGGTAAAACTTGGGGAGGGCAAAAAAACAATCAGCAGAAGGCACATTACTTACCTTTAGTGAGATGTGTTCCTTGTGCCGGTGTGTCCTCCTTTCACCAAAATATTCCTCCTCCAATGTACCCCACTCCTGCTGCGTTAATCTTCAAGTGTGGTGGGGGTGTAATAAAACTAATGGGGCTGTGACAGGCATTGATCAAGATTGTCTGACTATACCCGCCCTTTCCACTTAGCTTCTCCATCCATAGAAGCTATACTACAGCATCCATGAATGAAACGTGAGCTATGAATGAGGGGGTGGATCTTTCTATCATTCACCCATCCTCCATTCATAGATTGTGTTTCATTCATAGAAGCTGTAGTATGGGTTCTATGAATGGAGGCGCTGGGAGGAAAGGGCAGGCATAGTTGGGTAACCTTGATGAGTGCCTGTCACGGCCCCTTCTACTAATCCTCATCACACCCGAAGATTACAGTGGCGGGGGGTAGTGGACGTATCAAAGGAGGAAGATTTCAGAAAAAAGAGGACACAGCAGGACATGGATCCTAGTCCAAACCCACCTGAGCTATCCCGAGCTATCAGGCCATAGATGATGCATTTTTTCATTCAACCAGTAGGTTGAATGAAAAATAATGATATGATTTCCCATCAACACACTCGCTTTGCTATCATATTCTAAAAGCAGGAAGAGTTCCCTGCTGTCAGAATTACATGATCAGTGTAGCCAGTGACACCGATCGAGCAAAAAAAACCCAACAGGCTGGCTGTACAGAAGTCAAACAATAGGTTGACTTCTGTACAACCAGCCTGCACATAGGTGGATCAAAATGTGTCAGTTCCCTGTTGAACTGAATGAATTTTGATCCATCTATGGCCAGCTTAGGCCTCGCAATACATGCAGAAATACTGATGGAAACAGACATGCAGATTTCACTTGCAGTGACATCAGTTTTTAAGCGCGCTTTAATGAGTTTTACACACATTGCAGATTCCTGCACAGAAAAAATCTGCACTTGATACTAATGTTGCAGTGTGAACAGGGCACATAGAGAACTGATTTTGTTGTGCCCTCTCGGAACCACTGACGTCTCTGCACCATGGTGGTAACGAGCCTTTAAGCTGAAAATAAACCCTTCAATTTAACTGTTTCAAAACACAGTTACATTCCCGATATTTTTTCAGGGATGTAGCTGTCACATCTAAATTAAATTAAATTAAATTAATTTGGTTGGTTTGTCCGAGCCCTCCATGATCCAGCCTCCACAGTATCCAGAGAGGGGAGTCCCTTAACCAGGCTCCTACAACCCGTCCATCCCTTTAACTAGCTGCCGACCGCAGATAGCCGAATGCACTGCGGCCAGTTCTGGGTGGACGTCATATGACGTCCTCCCAGAACGCGCTCTCCTGCGCTCCCCAGGGGGCGCACACCCGGCGATCTCCGTGATCGCTGTGTCCTACGGACACAGCTGATCACGTGATGTGGTAAAAGGCCAATCACAGCGGCCTTTTACCACCTGATCAGCGGTGTCCAATGACACGCTGATCAGAGGGAAATGCAAGTGCCGGTTCTCGGCTGCACTTTCCTCACGCTGTCAGATCGTGAGGAAAGTACTGCCGAGAACCGGCAGTTGTCAGAGCGGGGATCGGCACCGATCATCAGGGTGCGCCCACTAGCACCGCCCACCCATGCCCAGCAGTGCACCCACCTGTGCCCAGCAGTGCACCCACCTGTGCCACTCTGCAGTGCCACCTACCTGTGCTCAGAAGTGCCACCTACCTGTGCCCAGCAGTGCCACCCACCTGTGCCCACCCACCTGTGCCCACCAGTGCCACCCACCTGTGCCCACCCACCAGTGCTGCCCACCAGTGCCACCCACCAGTGCAGCCCAGCAGTGCTGCCAGTCAGTGCCACCAGTCAGTGCCCAGGGGTTGTGCCAGTCAGTGCTGCCAGTCAGTGCCCAGCAGTGATGCCAGTCAGTGCCGTCTATCAGTACCCATAATCAGTGTCACCTATCAGTGCCGCCTATCAGTGCTGCATATTAGTGCCGCCTATCCGTGACCCCTAATTAGTGCTGTCTATCAGTGCCGCCTATCCGTGCCACCTCATTAGTACTGCCTATCAGTGCCCTTTAGTGCTGCCTATCAGTGCCCATCAGTGCCGCCTATCAGTGCCCATCAGTGCTGCCTCATCAACGCACATCAGTGAAGGAGAAAAAATACCTGTTTGAAAAATTTTATAAAAGAAACAAAGAAACTTTTTTTTTTGTTTTCAAATTTTTTGCACTTTTTTTATTTATAGCACAAAAAGTAAAGCGCCCAGTGGCGATTAAATACCACCAAAAGAAAGCTCTATTTGTGAGAAAAAAATGATCAAAATTTCATATAGGTACAATGTTGCATGACCGCGCAATTGTCAATCAAAGTGCGGCAGCGCTGAAAGCTGAAAATTGGCCTGGTAAATAAGGGGGTATAAGTGCCTGGTAGGCAAGTGGTTAAGGGATCTCTGGCCAGCTGGACCATATCCCCATCTGTGAGCTCCTGAAAAGCACCACCATACTCAGAAGGAGAGCTGCCCAGGATTAGGACCCCATCCAATGCCTAGGCGAGACCTCCGCAGTGATATTTAATGCGTATTTAATTTACGCATCTGGTGAGTGCATAATTCTTCCATATGTTATTGGAGCACTGATTGAAGAATCCACAGTTTCTGTGCACCCAGATTTCAACTGACTATTATTTATTCACATACTCAGTCTATTGGCATACTGATGAACGTTATTGGTTGTCATTTTTATAGCGCTGCACCTTTTTATTTAATTTATGTGTTTGAAGGTTTTTATTATTGGTTACCTTTGGTGTTCTAGCTGCTTTTATAGAGAGCGCTCGCTTCTTCATTTATTGTTTACAGCTGTCACATCTGCTTGTGCTCTCAAACTGTCAAACCATCAAATGTCTGGTGTCATAATTGATCACATGTGCAGCATCATGGCAGTTGAAGACCAGAGACTAAGATGGCAACTTCCGTGGCTACAAACGATAGGAGGGTTTAGTTTCACTTTAAGTTGCTTCAGACCTCCTACACCTCTGTAGCTTTTGCTGTGTGTAAGAGGAGCATGTTTCACAACCTCCTTCCTCTGGCCTACTAGTTTCTATAGCAAGGGTTTTGCCCAATCTCAGTCAAAATGGGTTTTTTTTTCAATAATTTTCAGTAGATTGAGGAAGAGATTTATTTGCTCATTGGATAGGAAGTGAAGATAAATCTGTCCTAGGGGAATGTAAACTACAGTAAAGGCACATTTTAGTAGGGTGGGGAAGAGTCTGAACCTCTTCCAAGTCTGCATTGCTGTCTGTTTCCTTGTTAGGGAGACTTCCACTCAGTGTCTGTGTGGGGAAAGGAAATGATAGCCAGTCTATCCAAAAAGGACATAGACAATGATGTAAAATAAAAATGTAGGTTTCTGTTGCAGTTTTTTTCAATGTTGGCGACATTTCCCCTTGAGGATAGCTCTTCAATAAAGACCCTAAAAATAAAAATTATATAGTGTTGTTAACCATTTCCCACATTCCTAAGCTAAAGATTAAAAAAATGGCGTGAGTTCTACTTTTACATAGAACTGTAATAAAAAAACTAGAAAAGCTACAATTTCTGGGGAAATTGTGTGAAGTGTTCTTGCCTCCACCAGTAGTCTACAACTGGAGTGAGCGGAGTAACTGGGTGGAGTGGCTTGAGTAAACTGTTGAGTGTGGTTGGAGTGGCTGGAGTGGCTGGAGTAACTGTGAAAAGGTCAATGGGCGGCGTGAGTTGCAAACAAATGGTCATATTGTGAAAACTATCAGGACTATGGTTTAGTTGTGGACATTTTTAGTGGCAGCAGGCATAGCTGAACGTTTTGATATAAGATTTGTGTAGGTGGGCTTGAAAATGAGGGAGTGATGGCAGTTTAGAAATCATGTCCTGATTTTTCAGCTCACACTCTAGCTTTTGTCAGCTCCCACTCTAGTTTTGAACATTCCGCCATTCATTCCTATGGGACCAATTTCACCACAAAAACACTGATATTTCGTGAACCATTCGGCGAAACATTCCACAAAGTAATAGCACACCAATTGGGAACAATCCGCACGTTTCGGTATATTACTGTCTATGTAGTGTAAAAACTGTGGGAGGAGTTAGGGTGGTAAATTTGGCTATAATAATAAGTATATATATGTGAGATAACAGTAAGTGGTCTTGCCATGCAAGAACACTTAATAAGGAAGAGGTGGGCCTCATGTAGCTATCAAGCTTACAGTGGATATGGAAAAGAATCACCCCTCCTTTATAATAATGACATGTTGTTGCTTTGCAGCCTGAAATGAAAACAGACACAGCTTTTGTTTTATCCAGCTGTATTAACTCACTGCACCTTATAACATCCAAGTGAAAGATATAACACCAACATGTCAGAAAATAATTTAAAACATTCTAAAACAGAATCACTGAGTTGGAACCACCTTTTGCTTTAATTACAGCAGTGGTAGAGGTCGCACTTGCGACCGGGCCCTGGAGTTCCGTCACCGTGGGGGGACCCAAGCAGTGTTGCAAACCTTCCATTACTTTAGGGACAGTGTGCAAAAAACAGCTTAATTTCCTAATGGATAGTAGAATCAGCCTATAAATTTAGGGACCAGTGGCTGCAGCTGAGCCGAGTGTCTGTGACACTTTCACAGCCCAGTGACATACTACAGGAGATGACCAGAGACTGCGGACATAGTACAGGAGATGACCAGAGACTGCGGACATAGTACAGGAGATGACCAGAGACTGCAGACATAGTACAAGAGATGACCAGAGACTGCGGACATACTACAGGAGATGACCAGAGACTGCTGACACAGTACAGGAGATGACCAGAGACTGCAGACATACTACAGGAGATGACCAGAGACTGCAGACATACTACAGGAGATGACCAGAGACTGCAGACATACTACAGGAGATGACCAGAGACTGTGAACATACTAGAGGAGATGACCAGAGACTGCAGACCTTTTGGGGAGCGGAAGGGGGGGAGCGGGTACTTGAATTTGACAGGTACATGCTCGCACTTCGGCGGAGTTGTCCTCCCTCCCCATCTTCTGGGACACATAACAGGTCCCAGAAGACTGCCGGACCATTCACAAAGTGCAGCGCTTCTCGTGCATGCACAGTGCAAGATGCCGGCGCCAGGGAGAGAAGAAGGTGAACCGAGAAACAGGAAGGGCCAGGGGTGAACTGACAACTCATGGGGCCCCCGGGCAATAGGGGATCATGGGGCATACTAAGCAAAATGGTAGTGTGACAAGAACACCCCTACCTGGAAAAAGAAGGTTACTAGGTGATCCACGCGGAGTAATATGAATTCAAAAATATTCCAAACAATACTTTATTTGATCACATAGATCATAAGGAGGTTAAACATGAGCACGGTGTACATATGAAAAAAGTAAATAAAATCATGTTAAAAAACACTAGGCGTCTTCAGTTTCGGGTCATCTTAGCAAATAGAGTACCATAAGGCAGAGTTATATAGTGGTGATATAGTTATCCTGGGTTTCCATGGGTTTTCGTCTTGTATTCAAATGAACCATGTATTCAGCAAATGTGTTCCCAATATATGTCAGGTATCTCCTGGTATGAAAAAGCTGGAACACAGAAGTACATAGTATATATATAGAAGTATGAAAACCAAAAAACCAAAACACATCCAAAGTTCACCAGGCCTCCCTCTGCAGTAATCAATGGATACTACTATTACCTTCTCAATAGTGAGATTAACAGGCCAACTTCTCAAATGTAGGGACTTCCTGGATAGCCACCCCAAGTGAAACAGGGTCCACAGTACCAAATGATTCTGAGGATATATATAGAAAAATAGTGATACATATAAAAATCATGGGCATCAGGTCACCCTGAAAACAAGACACACATAGAGTGGGTATATTACCATAAATGAAAATCAAGAAGACTTCTGTCGACTTGAAATAGGATCAGGTTCTTGATGCTTTCCCAAGATACATGTGGGGGTGGGGAGCCAGGTAGTCACAATACATGGATTCCAAACACATAAACTGTGTATATAACATATAACAGGCCATGCAGGCCTGAGTTTTTATACCCAATAAAGGGTTTCCAAAAAATTACTCAAAATGAGAAGATTATTGCTCCATATACTATGTATATAGCATGTAACAGGCTATACAGGCCTGAGTATTTATACCCAATAAAGGGTTTCCAAAAATTACTCAAAATGAGATGGTTATTGCGGTTTCATGAGGATATGGCTATGTCACAGCACAACACCTGGATAGGATAGCGTATATATATATATATGTAGATCGTCCTCAAAAGAGGATTTACAAAAAAATTCCCCGAATATACAGGGTAAATTAGGCCCATATAGCATGCCCTTTTAATACCATAAATGCTCTATAGATCTCAACAGCCATAAGCTGAAATAACTTGCCACCGGTGGAAGATAAATTTCCCTGAAAGATTGCTGTTTGCGAACCGCTGCAATAGTAGCCTTATGGTAGTTTTCAGAGGGTCAAGGGCCTTCCTAGCAGAGAGCTGTGACACCGCCGTTCCTTCCCGCCTCGTGGGCGCCGCACCCAGTGAAGACGCCGAGCGTAGTGACGTCAATACGTTGACGCGTTTCGTCCGCCAATCACCGCAGACTTCGTCAGAACTGGGAGGGGACTTCAATACTTCGCCTTATATGGTGCTCTAATTGCATACCAAAGAGTCTCCACCTCACCATCTTGTGTTGAAAGAGTATCACTACATTGGAATGATCCAAAGTGAATTAAAACACATATATTAAATTTAAATTTAAAATGGTTGCTGGATATAGAAGGAAGGAGCCTAAATGTTAACAGTCAGATCATCTTCAAAAAAAGAATTAATAATAGAGAGGAGATCAATATTAGCACAATACTTATTCTAAAGAGGAGAACATCAAGACCAAATCCCGTTACCTCAGCTTCAATATCAATCCAATTATTATAAAGATTTATTTTTTTATTATCTAGAGGAAATAGGATCAAGTGCAGGGTTAAGTTCATATTTTGTCCAAATATGTCCATATTCAATTCACATAAAAGATACCACAATATAGATTATAGCTTGGGATATATAAGGGGTTCCAAGAGACTCATTTCAAAAAAAACCCAAAGTTCCAGGTAGGGGTGTTCTTGTCACACTACCATTTTGCTTAGTATGTACCTTTTGGGTTTATGGATCCACACTTATACAAGTGAGTCGGAGATAAGTCAATGACACCAGCTATACGTGTCATTCTGGGTGGCCTGTTTGTGTTTTATTGTTGTGATATTCTTCCTTAAAGGTTCTTATAACCTGTTCCGCCACCCCGGGAGGTCTGGATTTAGTTTAAACATCAGCACGGTGTACTTTGTTTGCTGGATTATTGATATATTCTTTGACTAGACTTATACGAAAGGTTGTAATTCTCCTTCCTTTTATAGAAGGAAAAATACTTAAGGAGATAATGGCCTATCAGATCAATGAGGAGATGGATGCAGAAATTAGGTCTGCGTTTACAAAGAATTTAGATCCCCAAGTAGAGGGAAATGAGGGTGACATCAAGACCAAGTTTAAACTACATAAGAAATTAACTACTAAATATTTGAATAGAAAGTGGGATATTACATCCCTTGAATCATATATAGAGAGAGGGATTGTTCCTAGGGAATTAAGAGAAAGGGTAATTCCAGCAGAACATCTTCACATACCTCCAGATTCCTGGAAAAGTGGAAAGAGGTCTGTATAAAGCATGGCATAGAGATCATGCGACTAATTGTGGAAGAAGAGAAGGTTCAATTGAATGAACTCTCTAATGAAATTAATGAGAGTGCAAAATCACTTGATCCCCTGAAGAACGATGCTGAATTTGATAAACACAATGATTTCCTTAGAAAAGAGATAGAAAAAACACAAAAAAATCTGAAATTTACGAAACAACAAAAATTTAGAAGAGATTTAGAGGATTGGGAGAAAGGTGAGATATTCGATCTAACAAATAGTAGAGGAAGAAGTCGATCAAAACATAAAAAACATTTCTCTAGGAATAATAGAGGATATTCGTCAATGAGTGAAGATGATGATGAAAGTTATAAGAGATCGGTTCGTTTTTTAGAAGAAAAGACAGCTGGCGAGAACCAGGGAATATTGAAACAAACAAACAAACAAATCAATGGGACAAAGGAAGAAAGAAGTACTCTAGCTACCCTAAAACTACCCAATCAAAACCGTACCCGAAGTCACAAGAGATAAAGATCAACCTAGAGGGGGGGAACCAATGATCTTAAGGTAATAAATCTTTCCAAATTTGTATTGAAAAAAAGACATTATGATCTATTGCGGAAAGGTTTAACCTTCTCCCCTACGGATAAAATGGACCTATTTGAGGTCTATAAAGACCTAAATCTGTTTCTGAGAAAGATCCTTCTGAGAATTCCATATTTATCTAGAGAAGGACAAAATCCCTACGACCTCAACTCAGAGAGGGAACAACAGGCACTGAGAGATCTTATTAGTCTCTCTGAGGAGACTCCTACAGAAAGTGAGCTTGGGGAGGAGGATGTCTCTAATAAGTGGAAAAGACACACTAGACTTAAAACTCCTTCTAGAAGAATGCCCAATATTAGGGAAAACAAATGGTTAAGTACCTTTTTAGATCTAGTACACGATGACCTGGGGAAAATAGACTGGACAATGAGGAACTTTGATAATCTCACTAGGGGTGAAAGAATAGCCCTTAGGGAACTTAAGAATGCTAAAAATATTGTGATCAAAAAGAGTGATAAAGGGGGAAATGTAGTATTACTGGAGAGTGTGGAATATGAGAAGGAGGTACTTCGACAGTTGAAGAGTCAGGATACATATCGTAAACTACATAATAACCCGTTCCCAAAACTTGTAGTTGATTTAAATAAAAAAGTGGGATTGGCACATGAAGCAAACTTATTAACCAAACGGGAATGCGATATGTTGACAGTCGATGTATACAATATTCCCACCTTCTATGTAATTCCAAAATACACAAAAACCCCTCTCAACCACCGGGACGCCTATAGTATCGGCCATTGGTGGTCCTTTGGAACCAATAGGCAAATTTGTAGACGATTTAATTAAGGATCTGGTTTTAGAACTCAGATCTTATGTAAAAGACACGGGAGATGTGCTTAAAAAGATCTTAAATGTAAAAGTACCAAAAGGTGCACTCCTGGTCGGCATTGATGTGGAATCATTATATACCTCTATCCCACATACCTGGGGACAAAAAGCTGTGGCCCACTTTCTGGAGACACATTTTCCTGAAATGGAGGCTCAAAATGAATTTATACTGGACTTGTTGGACTTTATGCTGACCCATAACTGTTTTCAGTTTTTGGGTTCCTTTTGCCAGCAAATATGTGGTACCTCCATGGGAGCACCTTGGGCCCCGGCATTTGCATGTCTGCATCTAGGTCTATGGGAAGAGGAGTTAGTATATCCCTCTACTCCCTATAACCAATACGCAATAACCTGGTTGCGATATATTGATGATGTCCTGATGGTCTGGGATGGTAGTATTGATGAGCTTAAAAGGTTTATGGAATTCCTGAACGAGAATGATAGAAATATCAAACTTACTTATACAGTAGATAGAGAGGTGATAACTTTTTTGGATTTGTCAATCTCTATCTACGGAAATAAATTGGTCACTAAAACATTTAGAAAGGAAACAGCGGCTAATACACTTCTCCATGCTAATAGCTATCATCCAAGGAGTTTAAAACAAGGAATCCCTATTGGTCAATTTCAGAGAATAAAAAGAAACTGTACAGAAGATTTGGAGTATAGATATGAATCTATTCAGCTATATAAGAGGTTCAGAGAGAGAGGCTATTCACATAGAACCCTAAGAAGAGCAAAAAGAAGAGCCCTCGGTAAAACAAGAGAGGAATTGATAAATAAACCAAAACTAAAGTTAGCTGAGAACCTTGAAAACCAACCGGTAAGATTTATAACTAAATTTGGACAACAATGGGGTGAAGTTAAGAAGGCCCTGGACTCCCATTGGTACTTATTAACTCAAAATCCGCAGATAGCCAAAGTAGTAGGAGAGAGCCCCCAAATGGT